GAGAGAGAGAGAGAGAGAGAGAGAGAGAGAGAGAGAGAGAGAGAGAGAGAGAGAGAGAGAGAGAGAGAGAGAGAGAGAGAGAGAGAGAGAGAGAGTGAGAGAGAGAGAGAGAGAAAGAGAGAGGGGAAGACAGAGGGACAGAAAATCTTAAGGAATGAGAATAACAGATGAGAGAGAGAAAGATAACATATGGGAGAGAGGGATTTCACATGACTTTTCATTGATGTTTCCTGCAGCCTCGAAGCTATTGAGCTAATGCGCTTTCCTCCTACTGATGTTGATAAAGGAGGTGGCTAGGGTTTGGGGTTGGAAGAGAGAGAGGGAGAGAGCTTAGGGAGACGCAGAGGCACAAAGCTTGCACCTTAGGGTTTCGCTGGTTTGATTTGATGAATTGGATTAGGGATAAGGGATTTAGGGCTTAAGCTTAATGAATTAATTTAATCCAATATCTATTTAGTTTGTTAGCTAATAGGGATGGCAGTGTACCCGACTAGACTCGGGATCCGACAGGTATATCCCACCTCGGGTCTGGGTATGGGTCCAAAATTTGGACTCGAATTCTATTCGGGTTCGGGTGCGGGTGCGGGTCCGGGTCCGGGTCGATCTGGACTCATAGACATAAGGTATACGATGGCAATCATGTGTCTTGAGTCGTGCGCTAGGGTCCGGGTTTCTTCCAGCCAGACTCGATCCATACTCGACCTGTTGCCTCCCCTATTTCGTAATATTTAATTTATTTAATGACTTTTTAAATTAGTTAATAACTTATTAATAGACAATTGACTATTATTTAATTATAATTGAAATATAAAAATATATATTAATTAATATATAATAAATCAGTGGGACCCATACCTGACCCAGACTCGTTTTGAGTCTACCTAAATGGACCTGGACCCGGACCCGACCCGTGGAGTCCAAGTTTTGGATCCATACTCGGACCCATGTCGGGTCTACCCGGGGGGTCTGGATCTATCGCTAGGCCTAAAATCAATTCCATCCATAGGAAATTTCCCCCTCAAGTTACTTTATGTGAGAGAGAGAGAGAGAGACCTTAAGGAGGTGGGGTGTGCCACCCATGTGGGCTCGTCGCCTCCAAATAAATGGGCTCGACAAGGATGGCCCCAACCAAATATGGCCCTCCCACACCCTCTAGTAATTTTAGAAATTGAGTAAAATGATTTTTTAGAGCCCAATAAGTATTTTTATTTTCTCTATGAATGAATTAAATTCAAAAAATTCAATTTCAGCTATATAAAATTCTTTTAACTAAACTAAATTATCCAGAGGCTTTTAAAAATTCATTTTAATATTCAATAATTCAACTAAGACATACTAAAATATATTAAAATGAATTTTGATGGGAATTGGATCCAAAGAGTCAAGGATAACACAAATATACTGAGGCACTCCATCCCTTCTAGAAACCGCATCACGCTATCATCTTCTCAAAGTGACTTTACATAACCCATGACCCTCAACCCATCGAGAGAGTCATGATTGGTCCATCAAAGTCAACCAATAAATGAAGGAAACACGATCCTGGCCCATGAATTATAGGTTTCTCCCTGAGGATAAGTCCAGGTCCCATTTGGCTCACATGCTCTCATAGGACCTTTGTACACAATCCAGCATTACAGGAAGACATCTCATCTGCACATGTACACGGTATGCCACAAAGGGTTGTTTTCTGGACAACTATCTAGTATAATGTTGCTCGATAGCCATGATGAGGATTTTGGCCATTGTCCTCTCCGATCAACCACCGCACATAGGGGTCACACAGTCCCTGGCCAACCACCCTGGGCATTTCTACGACCTCATCAAGCACTAACCCCAACACAAACACACACATGAGAAAGGAACAAGTAGTCACACAAGGCATGGACAAGTTAAAGATAGAGCCCTATCCACCCTTATTGATCTATACACTTGGTCATGTGAAGGTATGGGTGTCCCTCAAGGGTCCGAGCAAGGGGTTTATATAGCCTAGAGTATATGCCCACACATTCACCCTCATTACATTGGCCATTAAGCATGCATCAAAATGCTGCCCACCAACTTGTGTGGCAATTACACTAGCCCAAGCCGTACCCTTCAATGAGTGTCCTCATGGCTCATTAAGGGTGAATTGTTTGACAATGCACTCCTAAGGTCATTGCTACCCATGCATGGTCATTACACTACTCTTAATGCCCACCTAGGCCACCAAATGTGTGCTCACCACTCTCACATGGCTCCATGACACCAAATGTGTGCTCACCACTCACACATGGCTCCATGACAATTGCACAAAGACATGCATGGGGTAGTTACATATTTCAAATTCCAATTCAAATATATCACTTGACTGTTTGAGATCAATAAACCTGCCTAATCAAGGGTATGGTTAGCCGCCTCTTGCACATAGTCCAATCCATGTCCTGTCATGTTCCTACCTATGTGTTTATTGGTCTTGGTGATTCACCGTGTCATACCAATTATAGCCATCTCTCTGCACCACTTGTCCAAGTTCTCGCTCCAAGGGTTTGTAGCTACCGGCCCATATGTGCATGCATGTTGTGCATCATGCACACTAGCCTTGCTTCCACCCAAGGTCAGTCAAGGCTGAAGGCACATATTCCCTCTTATAGGTTTGTCAGATTAAGTTACTGATCTGTCATGATATATGGCTGAACTGCCCAAAGTAGCACAAGAGCGTGTAGCTTATGGGTCCTTGCAAATTGTCATTAGTGCTTGCATTTGACACTAAGGATAAGGGTCTGATAGTTAGAGCTATGTGAGGGAAGACAAAGATAATATTATGTAATCTAATCATTGTCCAAATATGGAATAAGTGAAAAATTTATGGGGTGTACCTCTCTTCTTCTTGTTCTTCCACAAACACAAACCCTCTGAAAATGTGATATTATTTGCATTCAGAGCATTGAAGCTCATCTCAAACGAGTAAAGGAAAATACAGGGGGAAAAACAAGGGTTTTCAAGTTTCGGTTTCATGCCCTCTTGTATGGTTTAGAGTTAATCTATTAAAATGACATTATCACCCATAAGTGATAATGTTAGTATCACCCCCTCAGACGTGGAAATCTCCTACACCACCCTATAGTTTCTTTCTTCATAGGGGGCTCCTTACATGCGGAAAAGCCACACAATCGCAACAGGCACGATGTTCTCACAACCCAGAGTAGAGTTCTATGAATTTCATTATTTATGACTGATGTTTCATTCCTTCCAGTCTCGAAGCAAGCTGTGGTATAATCTATGTTTCCTCCGTTCAGTAGGAGGACTAGAACTATCGAGTAGGCGGACTAGAACTATAGAGTAGGCGAGGAGAACTGCTGATTCACCTAGTGTATTATTTTTTTTATATCATATTTGAAAAAGTATACTCCACTCCCTTAGACTCGTGTAGCTTAACGACTGAACTCGTTCCCTTAGCCTTGTGTAGCTTATTGACTGAACTCGTACCAACCCGCTTAAGAAAAAGGAGATTATCACCCTTGGCCTATATATTATTGAGGGGCAACCCTTAGGTCTATAGAAAGAAGAATACATTATTTATGACTGTCATGCCAAATTACCAATGACATCATCAAATGCATAAGATGACAAGAATAGGAAGGGTGATCTTGGGGCTTCTCTGGTACTGTAACAATATAGGAAAGTATCGTCACAAGCTACGGAAAGGTTTTGTTGCTTCATGGTGTGCTTCTTGAGGTAATGCTTGAAGTGTCCTTCATGTAGTAAACAACTCTTGATATAAAGGATATGGTTTTATTATGTTTAGCAACTTTACAGATGTTCCATTTTTTCTAGTTTTACGGGTATTATCCGTATGAATTCCCTAATAAATTATTCCATTCTGTGATTCATGAACCATTTGAGGCTACACCATTATTCAGAGCCTTCCTCTTGGTTTTACTTAAGAGTTGCCATGGGCCAATGGCTATCTTATTAGTGATCCCTCGCTTTAATTTATAGCACATTGAAATGTAAATAGTTGGCTCAGGTGAGGATGCAGAAATGTATATGGCCGATCAAACTGTAAATATTTGACCTGAAAGTTCTGATTCTTCTTTTGCAGGATTATTCTGGAACAAAAGACACAAGCAGGGAGCCTCAAGTTACTAGCTATAATAGGCGATTCATGGGAACAGTTGATTATATTTGGTCAGTGAATTCTACCGGTCCTTTGTATTTTTACTTTTAGCTGATGTTTCTACTTATAATGCAAACTCCAACATTATGAATGTTCAGTAAAGAAGTCTTTAGCATTAAAGTTTCTTGGCTATTCATCATTATGTTCTATTTGGATGTTGGATTACTGATCTAGACACTCACAGTGATCATTGATGCTGATACTTTGTTTCATTGATGAATGGTATTGAACTGTGGTTATAGTTCCCTTATGCATTTGCATCACATATGCTGTTGACATGGAATGTTTTCATCATTAAACAGGTGCTCAGAAGGTCTCCAAACTGTCAAAGTTTTGGGTACTCTGCCAAAACATGTTCTACAGCGGACTAGAGGTTTTCCAACTCAGGTATATGAAATAATCTTTTGTTTCACTTTCTTACATAACCTGAAGTCATTATCAGGTCAGGTCAATGGTCATATTAAGCATAAGTTAGTATTTTCTGGTTATTGTTTTACAATTTGCTTGGTGATGCTTATGGCTGCTAGTCTGCAGTCAATGCATAAGTACAAGCCCGATGAGTGTTGGAGGAAACGAAGTGTATCTTCCCAAGACAATTTACTTGTGGATTTTCGTATTTGTATCTGCAAATGTGGGTGTGCACGTACACATGTTTGTACCCACCTCTCCTTCCCCCCTCTTTCCTTTTGATGATTGGGAAGCATGGGATTCAAACCATGCAATCTTGGTGTTATCTTGAATGGAGAAAAACAGCTTTTAGGAGTTTTACTTCAGTCCAGTATGATTCCTATTTAATGTGCATGATGGCCTTCGTAACGGTAAAAAATGTACCAAATGAAATTCCTCATCACGGGGCCCATGCATATATTTGGCCATTTCAGTGACTTATATGGGATCCAAAGAGGTCTAAACGTAAGGGATGTTCTTCCATATGATTTCACATGCAATAAAGTATGATTAATACTGTTTTAAATGTGAGCTCGTGTTCAGTGATGTTTGTAGTTCATAAACTATGAATTGTATGCCACATGAACTGTCCATTGTCAATAATGGATGGTTGAGATGAACGTTCCTCTGCCAAAGCAGGCAATAAGCATGTAATGGTTAACACTATCAGTCTGCTGTCAACATTGGACTGTTGTTGTGACATGCAATTTGCTGTCTGTAAACTGCAATGCGCCACCGTATACTTTGAATGTTGTAAGTGCAAAATGATAATTTTTATTTTCTGAAAATCGACTGGTATACCTTCTCTGGAATTTGCATTTTCGTGGTTTCTTTGGCCTGTTAATATTATTTTCTATCCGAATTTGATTTGCATTGAATTTTTGTGACCACTGGCTGGACCAAGGACAAATGACATGCCATCTAAATTGTTTATTTATATGGTTTCAGGAATTGTTTTTGTGAAATTACAGTTAACAGGATTTGAATGCATTATTAGTATAGGATGAAACCTAAATTGCATTGAAAGAATAAGAAAGGATCTGTTGTGATGCTATTAACCTTGAAATCACTTCTTCCTTTTGAATGCTGAAGTTCAGGGTGGTTGAGAGCATGAGTGATGGATATATGGTGCATTTGGGAAGGGGCATCGAGTTGCGATATTTTTAATCCATGGAATTTGCAATGAACTAGTCAGCTAGTCAAAATTTGATGAGAATATACTTGCTGAGGAAGTGAACTGGACAACTTAAACTGACATATGTGTAGCATAGTCATAACTCACAAGTAATTTGTATGTTAGAAAAGTAGCACTAGTCATGTTTTGGTGATTATTTACCACTGAATATTGGGAAAATACAACAAGGTGACTAACTTGGCTTATTGCCCTTCAAATATGACCTCCGCATATGAGTATACGGCATGACAAAATGTGGATTCCAATTTAGTATTGACTATATCGCTTATATATTGGGAAATGTGTAAATGTCTTTTTGCAGAAATGGGGTAGTGACCACCTTGCCTTGGCTTGTCAATTGGCATTTACAGATGGCTTGTCCGGAAGGGAGGATGCATGACAACTTCCCTCATTGTAATTTTTTTTCTTGTTTTTATTTCTGGCATGTCACAATAGCTTATGTAAATAGTATGTGGATCATTCATGCTATCTTTTGATCTTTTTTCTGGTGTTATTTTAAACTCAGCTTGACCATGCCTAATACAAATACGATGTTTATGTGACAGCTCCATGATAGTATAAGAACCTCAATGGAGGAGCAATCCATTGTTCTTTTGAAATCTTCAATGCTGGAGACAAATTCACTAGTCCGAACCTTGATACATGGTTCTGTATATCCTCATTTTTGGGTCGGTTAGCAGTGGAATCCGTAGGAAGCAGGCCTGCATTGCAATTGTGAACATGCTAACCATCAAGCTTTCTATTGGAAAGAAAATAGAATGAATTCCTACGTGATGCTGCACTCGCAAATTGCAGGATTTGAATGCTTTTGTAAGGTTTTATTGAATCTGAATCGGGTGTGGAGCAATAGTTGCTAGGATTTTGGCTCATGCCCTTACAACACTTAGAAATTCAGTGCTGTGAACTGTGAAACATTGTATAGTGAGCAGGTTTAACTAATGCTTCATATTATTTATTAAATTGTGTTTTACTATATACAAAAGGCCCAAAAAATGCAGTATTGATGTGGCTCAAACATGCAGTATTGTTTTTGATTTATTAAATTTATCTGGGATTATTAATGTATACTGAGGCTTTGAGGCTTAGGTCTAAAAGGACATGGTTGGAAGTAATGGGAAAAGACATAGACTTATGGTCTCACTTGACGGATCACGATTCGTGTAGCCGACTTCAAATAAATTAGATAAAGGCTTTCTTGATGATGATGATAACAACAAGGGCTCCAAGGTCTTCACCAATTGAGTGGAGGCATATTTTCCATTCATCTAACCTAGCTACAAAAGGCCACTCTTTAACATATATTCTCGATGGGCCAGCTTTTGTGTTGGTTTTCAGACGGTATAAATTTTGAATCGAGCTTTAGGTGTTCTTAAAATTAAAAATAGAGGTACGTGTGTCATTTTACACTAAGATTGTGTATAAGGACTTTTTAGTCAATTAAATTTTAAAAATATTTAGAAACAGGTTAGTGATCGAATCATTTTAGAAAGTGACCAAGGCAACCTCATTTCCTTGTAGTTGGCCATGTTAGGAAGTTCTGAATGTACTGATGAAGCTATGATTTCCTTCTATTTTGAATAAAAATTTTGCCTCTCAAAATATTTGATGTAATAAGAGATTTTCTCTCACACAACGGATTTCTTTTAAGAGATTTTGTGCTGTTTGGAGCCAAAGGATGCAAAGGATTTGAGCCCGATTTTGAGAGGATATATGTACTGGGTCGATCTGGTATTTTCTGCGACTGTGCGATAATGAAAAGAAGCTTCTTTAATGTACTGTGCGATAATGAAAAGAAGCTTCTTTAATGTACTGTGCGATAATGAAAAGAAGCTTCTTTAATGTACCATGGATAAATACTTCATTGACAACTTAATATTAAGAGCAATAATCTAATACAACGGTTGTATCATAGTATAATACAACGACACTTCTAGAAAACCACGTATGTGGTATTTTTATGGCTTCAAATTTTGCGCACTATCTTCATTTCAATAATCAATCCTCCAAAAATAAAAATAAAAAAATTCAATTTGAACCTTAGATATGGTCAAAATGAGTTCCCTCAAAACATGAATCTAGACCATTTATTTTGTGAATTTCAAGATCTTAGCCTTTATAAATTTGAAATTATTTTTTTTAAAAAAATATTGTTCATCTAATGATAATAAAGGCATAAAAAAAAATTGGAAATCAAAAAATCCTTCTAAAGCTTAGATCTAAGCATCTCACTAAAATGAACGGCCTATGTTAATTGGGCTAAAAAAATACTTTCTAGGTTGTGTTTTCAAAATTTTCTTTTTTGTAATTGTTCATTACAATAAAAAGAGTGTATATGTCAAAATTTGAATCAAACAAATGGCCATAAGATGGATTTTTAAATTTGTTGCATCATATTACTCTACAACGGTTGTATGAAATCATTGCTCTAATATTAATATGGATAAATACAACGGTTGCATGTAATCATTACTCTAATTTTAATATGGATAAATGCAACGGTTACATGAAATCATTGTTCTAATATTAATATGATTTTATCCACGATCTGATTTACTCTTCTAATATGTTGTATTCCTACTCGATGGTTTATCAACGTTGGATCCATTGAGTTAATCTCAACACAATGGAAATACAAAATATAAGTATAGAGATTTTTGAATGCCGGCAACCTTAGATTGATTTTTAGTTACAAGAACTAAAATGATAACATGCATAATACAAACTCCAAGCTTTTGATAGAAGGCGCGAGAGTTTTTGAATCACCAATATAGGTTTTGTTATTATAGGACTTCTAGAAAGAGAGCGAAAGAGAGACGGATTTTTGGTGTAGAAAGAAAGACTCTTTTGCATATGAAATCCGCTTTTTGGTGGGGAAAGAAAGGCTCTCTTTTGTGAGGCATGTGAAATCCCTCTAGATTTTTCTACTTTTTCTATCTCTTCATTGTGTTTTTTATTTTGGGTAACATTCCCTCTAGCAATTTTAATGATAAATCCATATCACATAGCATTCCCTTTTCGCTTCTCTCTACCATGAATAAATCCTACAATACATTGGAAATTCTTCTCTCTATTAACTACAAGAACATAGAAAATTCCATTGAGGTCTTACAACCACAAGGGGTGTACTCCATATCAATATCTTCCACTCGTCTTGTAGTGCATAAAAAGATATCAATCCCGATCATTATCTAGTGATACATCAAATACAAGAACTCTCTTATATCTTGAAACTAGCCGTGAGACCATAAAGAGTAATAATCTCTATAGAGAGAACCACATTAAGTCTCCAACAAATTAACGTGGAACATCCTTTCTCCCTTATAAAAAATGCCCCAAACTATAATTGGCTATTTTGGCCGTACTGGATTGAGTATCTTAAACTAATTCCTCATGATTTTCTATGCTCAGGACAACACAACCTCTTTGTCCACATTTACCTAACTCCTATACAACCCCTATTTGCAGACATGTCCAACTCATCCAATAAAATTTTGTTTTCATGCTTTCATGCTAAGCCAAGAAATTTATTTGCAAATAATATATTATGTTATATTATGGATTTTTAAAATTGTTTTTTGCAAAAGAACATTCTTAGTAAAACTTTTATTTCGATGTGCTTTTGAGTATCTTTGTGTACATTGGTTCTCAAGGCGAATGCTAATGATCTTCTCTAAGCCCTCCTACTGTTATGCTTTGCCCTGATTGCTTTCTTAGCTCCACTCCCACCTGGCCGAATCATATATGACCATGGCAATGGAACTACTAAAGTAGCGACATCAAGCCTCCACTTCTTAATATAGTCTTAGGGTCTACAAAAGCACTTACAATCACTGCATAATCGGCTATTTCTTGCATGTTGTAATAGGAAATAAGGATAATCATATACGCATCTCTATAAAGTAATGGTGATCTCGCAAAGTCATAACTATGTATCCTCTCACAACTAAGGCGACCAGTGTCACATCCAAGCAACTAACTTGAATATCATTGATGCTCACAATTGGCTTACCATATAAGCTATATGATTTAGTGGGATGCCATATATATTATGTCAATTCCCAACTGTGGAATCTCATCTCGATTACTTATCAAGGTAGTAGTCACATACGCTGTGTGTGTCTCATCTTCTAATATCGTCAATATTGAGGGTACTCAATGCTATGCAAGAAAATTGGACCAACCCAGCTGAGGATTTATCTCATAATGAATATGCATCCTAATCCACAAGTGTGAATGTGTGATCAAATCATGTGTACGTGCATCAAACACAGCACAATACCATGAACCTCTCATATAAATTGTAAAGTCAATACAAAACGACAAACATATATAGGAAGAGTGAAAATAATGATGATGGAATAGATAACAAATTAGGGAATCCTAAGTCCTAATGCCTTGGCATGACCCTTATAATTCTTTCAAGCTATAGGCTTAATCATGGTTCTAATACTATCCTGCTAGTGGGATTATACATCATGACATCCAATGATATTTGCATATAGAAATACCCAATTTTTATCCCATGTCTTACCATGATACTTGGGATCCTTTGTCATAGATAATGCTCACATGCTCTATAACATTCAATATGATCCCTAAGCTTTGTAGAATAGTCATGAGCCACATGTCCTCATGCAAGGCCGCACAATAATCCATATACTCCGGTTCTGTTTTGGACATGCTACTCATGTTACTTTCTTGTTGCATCAAAAAATCACTCCTACTCTTGGAGCGAAGACATTTCCTTATGTCAACCATTAATAATTCAGGTCACCAATCTAATCAAAATTACTCTACCCTTGTAGTTGGAGATCCATTGATGTCAACCATTAATAATCTAGGTCACTAATCCAATCGAAATTATTCTACCCTTGTAATTGGAGATCAATTCCTACAAAGATCCACGAGTAGTCTACAATTCTCCAAAGATATCAGAGTATATTATTCATAATGTGTCAATTTCTCAGACCTAGATTGCTTTGATAACGACTTGACAAGTCCTATGATACATCCCTTCATGTTTATAACATGCACATATACAATTACTTAATCTACTAGCTCATCTTTTTCATTTATTAACATCCACGACAACGATTCAGAATAAGCATATGACCTTATCGGACAAGAGTATCAATGGATTCACCATCGTGTACCATAAATCATTTTAAGATTTTCCTAATAATAAGATAGACTTACAAAGGTTTAGAATGAGTGCGATTGATCTCAACATCAAGCATACAATGCACATTGCCCACTTTCTACATGTCAAAATTGGAAGACAACAACACCTCTGTTTTATCGCTTATGTCCTTGTCATTTCTTGCCATTAGGATCTTAGCATCCAATACCATCAAGATCATAGAACTCCCACTATTCTCATTGACAAATCCTTGTTAAGGGATGTCATCTACAAACCATTTGGTCAAGTTTCAGAACCTAACTTGCTATAATGGAAAAATATAAGGTGAATTGAAACCATTTCCACGACCAGGGAGAATAACTCATCATTTTCTACACTTCCAATTGAGTGAACCCTTTCACCACTAATCGGTCATTGTGTCTGTCTAAAATCCCATTATCTCTGATTTTTCAAGAACCCATGTTCTTCATAGTCTTTTCACTTAGAGGAAGTTTTACGATAGTCTTTTCACTTGGAGGAAGTTTTATGAGTTCCGAGATTCAATTCCTCTCCATAGAACTAACTTCTCAGTCCATTGTTGCAAATTGCCAGTTGCAAACGATATTAGTGCTTGTTGATATGAAGTTGGTTCATACTCATAAATGAAGTGCATGTCAGATCTTCCCCTTCAATTTTAAATCATCTCTAGGGAATTCTGACATATGCATGTTTATGAAGATCATGAATCAATGATGGTTCGCTCCCACTATCCTCGACAACCATGGGAATACTCCTACCATTGTTATGGATCGGTAATTTGGCTCATTGCCAGCAAAATGGTATAAATGTCTAACACACAAGGACTTACAATAATTAAGTGGGATTTCTTAATTGTTCATAACACTTAAGTGGGATTTCTTATACATAGATCTAGAAGGTACCCTTTCAAAGACATGCCTAGCAGACAACAGAGTA